ATGAAAATGAGCAGCTCGCTCTACAAACTTGACCCGTTTTTAGATGTCGACGGAATTCTACGTGTCGGTGGACGTCTCAGACGTGCAAGCTTGAAAGGAGACGTAAAATTTCCCATCATCCTACCACGAAACAGCCACGTCACCAAGTTGATTATCAAGCATTTCCATGAGCGTACACATCATCAATGTAAAGGAATGACCTTGAACGAAGTGCGATCGAATGGGTTCTGGGTGCTTAGTGGTTCGTCAGTAGTCGCCAACATGATTTCATCTTGTGTCACGTGCCAAAAACTGCACGGAACAGTACAAGAGCAAAAGATGTCAGATTTGCCGGAAGATCGACTCGAGTCTACTCCACCCTTTACATACTGCGCCGTGGATTATTTTGGGCCGTTCGTCATTAAAAAAGTAAGGAAGGAGCTAAAGCGATATGGCGTGCTCTTTACCTGCATGGCGTATTGAAACTGCCAACTCCCTTGAAACCGACTCCTTCCTAAATGCTTTGACAAGATTCATCAGTTGTCGAGGCCCTATCCGCCAGCTTAGAAGCGATCAGGGAACAAACTTCGTAGGACCTCGTACAGAACTTGCCCAATCATTAGCCGAAATGGACCAAGAGAAGATTAACACAAACTTAGTCGAAGAGCAGTGTGACTGGTTTACTTCCAAGATGAACGTCCCAGCAGCAAGCCACATGGGAGGCGTTTGGGAGCGCCAAATCAGATCAGTACGTAACGTCCTCTCATCATTATTACAAAAAAATGGAAGTCAGTTAGACGACGAATCTCTGCAGACCTTTATGTGCGAAGCAGAAGCCATAGTCAATAGCCGCCCTTTGATGATTACTCAGCTTTTCCACGTTACGAAGGTGTTCTCGGAATCGGTCACCTAGTCTTCTGCCTGTTTTGCCAATGTATGTCTTTTTGCAACAAGTGCAAGTTATGCAATAGATTACATTGGCGGAGGTGCACATGAAGTGATTGGTGATCTTAATGGGTGTTTGGGTCCTGATATTTTCTCAGTGTTGTGAATGAAAGGACACGTTGCGCATCATGCGCGAGTGCATTTAAAAGTGCCTGGTTGGTCATCAGCCTGAAACAACTTCTGACCAAAACAAAAATCTCAGCTAGCTCTCATTTTGCAATAACAAGCTAAGCAGTCCTAATGATCCAAAATGAAATATTCACATATCTATGTTGCTATAAATTTATTTCCAGATTTGCCAGAAAGAATAAAATAATCTTTCCAACCATTTGAAACATGCATGTAAACTGAGTAAGGGCAAAGTCGAGGAGCTAAAGAGTGAAAAGAATCAGGGAAAATGGAAAGGAAGGAAAACTGGAAAAGAGGTAATTTATTACATTCTTATTGTTCAGTTCTGTTTTTCAGAGGATTGTATTCATTGTAGTTACAGAGGTGAGTGTTTTCTAACTGTACACAGCATTCTTGACCTTTTTCAAATCATGCTCATTTTGACACATTGCATTTTTCCTGTATTTTCAGCAAAACCAAGAGGCCCATTTGATGTTGTCCACTGAAGGGATGTACCTGGGTTGGATGACACTTCGATTACCACCTACCAAAAGTAAACAATATTGGCAAAGATTCTGAAAAGTACTTGTCACTAGTACACAAAAGTGGCTGAGTTTTAATTTATTTCTGTTTTTTTTTGTACAGTCAAGCTTCTACAAGTGGTCTTTGTTAGAAAGTATGACATGCATGTAACCTATGGTAATAGGTAATAAAAGTACTTCATACTGGACTTTGTATTCATTTGTAGACACACCACTTGGACCACTGAAAATGATCAACAAATTAACAAAAAGTTTCTAGGCTAATCATTATCTATAGTTTGATAATTGTAACAGTTTCAGAACTACAATTTAGGATTCTCTCTCTGTCAGCTGCTTATAAAATTGGCTTTCTGACAGGTTCTTAGAAAAGGTGTATGAAATTAAAGTTTATGTTTAAAAAGCAAAAAAATGATACCAGTTTGAGTTCCTGTTTTCTGTCTGCATATATAGCAGTACTTACCAACAACAGTTAGCGGTCAGCGATCATGGCAGTCACGAAGTTTATTGCTCCATACTCTTTGGCAGAATAAAAAATTGTTTTTTCCCTTTAATGTTATGGACTTAAATTATGGAGTCTGAACAAATGCAAATGTACTTTTTGTATTTTTTTAGAAATCAGTTGTCATGGATAACGAAAGGGCACATGGACCTGGTTCCTGCAATACACCTGGAAAGCCACGGAATAAAATACCCAAAAAACCACAAGGTCCAGGTACTTGTGATCAGCTGCTTGCCATGGATGTACCCAATTCACCAGCTAAGGAATGATCAACAAACATCTTGTACTCCATCTGTTTTCAAAAATTGAGGACTGTTTTTGTTTAGTTTAACATTCATTGCTGTACATTTAGGTATAAGGCAAGGAAACTATAAAGGAGCATTTTACTATCACTGGTGAGTATGAAATATCCCCACTTCTGTTAGCAATCTGTTTTAGATTCCAGTGTACCAGCCAATTAACCAGTTCAGATAGTGAAAGCTGACCATTGTATGCTCACTGACATTTGAAACCTTGGTGTCAGTCTGACATTGTACCTTGTATTGGCAGATTCATGCTGACGTCATTGTTTACATTTTTGCTCATTTGCATACGGCTTTCCGTAAAGAAGGAAGCATGTTAGATACAAATTGACTTAAACACGAAGGCGCGCTATAAAAGGAAGTCTTCCCTGGGAAGACCAAGGCTCATTTGTCACTCACCGTTGACGTGCGCGGATCAAATTTAAAATGGCGGGCGATTTGAATACTCGAAAGGTAAGGTATACGAGAATTGATGTGCCTTTCCTCTCTTTACTTGCCCCAGAAATGAAATATCTTTATCTAACACCAAGTAGTACTTCACAGATTACAATTTTATTAGAGGAAAGTTTAATCGAGGAGCTAACCGGTTGGCTTACCGTGAACAACGGAGAGATCGTTCGAGTAGAGAGACCCCGAAAAAAAAAATCAACGCCCGGTAAGTTGGCTCTTAAACGAATCATATTTACAACACGATTACAAATTGATATTATTCCACTATTTGCAATGTCTATGCCAATAATTGTTCTATTCAAGTCCGATCCGAGTGGGTATTGTATAATACTATCAGACCATGAAGCATAAATATTCATAATTTGTCCGGTTTCCAATGATCGGCAACTCCCAAAGCGGATAAATATTTCAAGGCCATATTTTTTATTCATACTTTTAAATCTGAATTGTATGCCATTTACTGCTAGCTAAAAAATCTTATCTCGGCCTTTCTAGTTTGCCGAAACATGTTTTACCCGCCATTTTCAACGTTCTTGAACGATGTCCTCTACAGCGCTTTACCAGGTCAAAACAGGTTATGTTCTCATGCAACATTCTCATCTTGCTTTGTTTCACAGGTTCCGAAGACAAGGAAAATACATCGGCAACATGTGTCGAGCTGCAGCGCGACCTCATTAGTGATGAGAACGAGACCGGTGAAACCAAAAATTCAAATCACATTGAAGGAGTTCACGCATATGTCGCGCGTGACATGTGCATGTACTGTCGTTCTTCCCCATGTGTTTTACTGAGCGAGACCCTGCCTGCACGGTTGAGAGTGTTTGGCCAGCCCAGAATGAACAACCACACGAAGCGGAAGGGCGACTATAGATGTTTCTATACAATTCTCAACCGCCGCGGTTTATGGCTCGATCCTATTTACATAGCCAGGAAGGAAGCATTGGGATGTTACGTGGGAGATGTTCGAGAGGTTATGCCAGTCTGTGTTGTGGAAGATGTTCGAAAACGGTGGCCAAATCCTGATGGAGTGCCCTACTGTGGTCACCGTCGTTCATAAAACCTGCATTACAGTACTTCCACTTCCCTCCAAAATAGTATACATTTATTTATATAATGACAAAGTATAAGGTACAATAAAAGTTACATTGTTTCACACAATTCTAGACTCCACTATGCAATATCTTGAGGGACTGATCAGCATTTTCCATGTTCTTCTTCCACTGCTTGTACCTTACGCTCTTATCCTACTCGGAGAAAAAAAAAGGAATTGGGTTGCACTTTATTTCCTCTCCATACAGATTATGGACAGTTGCTATTTACAATAATTTTCACTGAGTCGTGAAGATTTCAGAGCATATGAATCCAAAATGATGTCATCATTCAAGAGAAGTGAATGAACATCATCAACTGAAAAAAGGAATCATTTCAACAGAAAATGGAAAACCAACTAAAATAATACTTAGCCTTGAACCATCTTTGATCATCAATACACTCATTCCAAGACCAAAGCTACATAATCTCTGAAAAGGAATGCAAACAAGCAGTACGCTTATATCGTTACAATTAAAGAGCTTCTGCAAACAACCTACAGGCTGCCAAATACATACTAGGAAAGGCATATGGAAAACCTACAAGCATTGCCACTATCATATACATGTAAATACAAGTACTGTCTTGAATACAATAGATGCAAATGTGAAAAAGAGACACTAATTTCAAATTAATTCAGTCTTGATAATAAGTGTTGTAATTAATCATGAACTTATGTAATTGATCATGAATTTATCAGTGAGGAAAACAACCATCACCAATGTCAATGTCTTGTAAATTTTAAAATGTGAAGTGCACTCAGTGCATGACATGACATGTGTCATGTCCTGAATGATTTAGTACTTTTTTTTTAATAAACAAACAGTAAGAGTCCTGTTTCTGTTTCATGCCTTTAGATTATTAGATAACACACAGGTAACATATCAAATAAATTATTACAAGAGCAGCACAGCTATCTTGGTTACCTACACAAATTTTCCATTGCATCTTCTTCCCATAGTCAGCAAACAAGCCATGCAAGAAGGGTGTAAGGGGGTATTCTGTGCTACA